CACAGCGATGGCACTCAGGACATGCGCCGCCACTGGCGAAGCGACACCTCCATGACGAGTGTCAGCCACAACGGTGATGCCACGTCAGCCTCGCCCTATTGATGGGGGGGTTTCATCAAACGAGGCGGGGGGGGGGAAGTCTAGGCTGATGTACGCGCAGGTGGGGGCAAGGCGGTTGGTGATGCGATGCAACAACTTTATGCATTGTCGCCTCCGGTGGACAACTTAGATAGGACAAAGAGAGAGAAAGCGGGAAGTGGTGCGCGGCGAGAAAAGAAACGATCGAGAGGACGATGATGCGATTTTCAACAGACTGCATAGGTACTTCGTTGTCATCACCAGTGGTCTTCTAGCGCCTGCCGTCCCTCGAAGCATCGTCATGCCCAAATCCAGTATGACGCAAATCAGGATCACCGCCCCCATGCAACAACAACAAGTGATCTCCCGTGCGACAACGGTGGAGAATGTTGTTCTGCGCATCTTGCACAACAAAAAAATTCCCACAAGAAATGAAAGTTAAAAAAACATTTCATTAAAAAAAAATCCTTCATATTTAAAAATTATCATTCCAATGTCCGTCAAAGATAACCTCCTTGCAGTGGCAAATCGCTCATCGCTGCCTACCAACCAATGATTGGTTAATTGATCGTACTAACTTGGAAGAACGAGGTCTGCTGCTTCCATGGTGTCAGAGGTGCTTGAGTCTTTTCCCCTTCCACAAAAAAACAGAGACGATCGAACATATCTTCATGCAGTGATGCACCCTGGCCAGGGAAAAGGTTAGAGAAGACGGGCCAGAAATCACAGAACAAATCTAGCAACAGGTGCAAGCTGAACTCACACAAAGATGGTTGGACACTAAAACACAACTAGACCTTTTTCGGCAAATTGGAAATGTTAGGAGACATATTGCAGCATTTTGCTCAGATTGGGTGGGAGGGGACAGAGAGGGATGGATAGCAAGAGTAGAATGGAGTGGAGATAAGGGAGAAAAACAGAGGGATTTGGAAGGCATGAGAGACTACCGTCTCATTTTTAAAGACTGGACTAACATAGAACCCACTTTCCCACTGCGTCCTCCCTCAGGCTTCCCAGACCCATTCCCACCCCATGCTCTTTCCGTGGCAGAGATTCTCTCCTGATCAACACATCTCCTAATACAACACCTGGCTCAACGATCCATATATGTATGCAGAAGCTATAAGCCTGGGAGGATCTACCGGTGCCCCCCGGTGATCCTACCCTCCGGCGCACAATGGGAGGATGGACGCATTTTTAAGCCAATAGTTCAGATGAACATAGTTCAGAAGAAAGGGGGAGCTAAGAAGTAGTGAGAGTATCTGGCACCCAAGTAGGGTGAAGAGGCCCCCCCCCCCTTCTGTCCTGCATCCTGCACAGTCAATCCCCTGGACGCCAGGGCAATCAATGCTGGCAGGAACTTCTCAAACTACGATCTGAGGTATTGCTTTTTTGTCAGTCTGTATAATAGGACATTGGACCCGCTTTCCAGCAGGTGATGCTCCCCACCAATAGATGGAGCCCCTTTCCCCAGTGTTAGTGGTGTCTGCTCTTACCAACACCACTAACACAGACGAGATGAGGGTTAAAAAAGAAAAAAAGAAAAAAAGAAAAAATCCAGTTTTATTTTATAAGTTCTGGTCTAAAAATGAGCTTTCCCTTCGAACTATATATATTTGTAGAAGATGGAATGGAAGTCTGAACGAGTTAATGAAATGTCTTAATTAAACTTTTATTATACTACAACAAATATCTTCTAATTTAAATTCGATTAACCCATTTATGACTGAAAATCCTTACGTAGAATGACATTCCAATTAAAATATTTAATGAACTCATTAAGACTTCCATTCCATCTCTAGCATGCAGTTCAAATAAGAAGGGAACCCCATTCTTGGAAGAAAGTTTTCAAGTAAGACGAAAAATTTTAAAAGTGGACTGACATTTTTTAAGATGGAATGAAAATTTAAAATGTAGAATGTAATTTACTATAGAATTATTCTTTAATTGTGAGGAGTTTTTACGTTGCAGGGGTGGGTGTTTAAGTCGAGGAACCGGCCTAGAAGTTATAATCTAGCTTTCCAGTACGCACTGGAGTCCGTGGCGACAGATATTTGCATGCGCTATATGGTACGGCGCGGAGTGGAGCAACGTCGTCAGTGCAGTCGTGTGCGCACATACAATTGACCTCGGCATGGACTTGCCACTGTGGTTTGCGGGCACTTACATCGAAGACAGGTCAGAGGATAATGATATGAAAGTATACCAAGAGTCCACCTTGATATGCATCGCCCGTGCATTCGACGTCGCGGTTCAAACGGGCCAATCCGTCGGCTGAGGATTTATCTCACACTACCGTCTTTCGCGGGTTCCTGACTGCTTCAGCCTTTTGCTAATGGCGAGCATGTGGTTGATGCGCATGGTGAGAGATGATCTGCACAACCACTATGAAGCTTTCTACTTCTCTTGGCTTGTGACGAAGCCTACGTTCGTCTCTTTCATGCATCAGTCCTTCGACCAAAGATGATCAGTCGTCCACGCCACGAACGTCGTGATGGAGAGGCTTGGTAAGGCAAACGCAACCTTGGGAGACTACCTGAAGTACATCCCAGATTAGGCACCCTACACCATTGTTTTTGCCTACGACACAAGCATATCAAGGCCGGAGGATGACGTAAAGAGGCTGGATTGGTTGAGGACTCGCCCCTCGAACGGTGAGAAGGACGACGGTGGACAGGATGACGTGTAGGGCGGTTGATAGGGTGACATGTAGGACGCAAGAGAGGGAGGTATATGAAGGAGGGGTTGCCGTGTGTTCTCTAGGGTAGCGTGTATAAATGACACGCAACCATGACATGGGTTGGACAATTGTGATAACGAGGTTAAACTTTTCATTTGTTTTGGTTACTTTGCCACTCGTTCAAGTTGACGAGTGACGAGTTGGAGTGCTCACTTCCGCATGGGAATTCTTGTTGTTACATTTTGTTTTTTGTGTTGGTATTCTCGCAATTGTTGCAATAAAGAAAACTGCACAAATACCACATCCTATTTTCAACATGTTTTCCTCTGTTTTTTTGTGTGTTTAATGGCATGCGTGGATCATTTGCACCTTTGCATGCACACCTTTCATGGTCATTTTGTTTTCTATAACAGAATAGTTGTGTGAGAAGATAGCGCCGCACAGTCCTTGCTTTGTTTTTTTTTTTTTTTTTTGATTTTGATTGTTGTTGTAACTGCACCAGCGACAATCACACTCAATAGACAACAAATACAACATAATGACAATGAGTACACAAGCGTAAAGTGAATAACATTTTTCCAGATGCAAGGCCACCCACTACAATGTCGATGAGTAGACAAGCGTAAAATGAAAAACGGGATAACAACTTTTCCCTTTCAATCAATGAACTGAAATTGCATGTCGTGTTTCAACCATTACAAACAGAAAGAGGAACAATAAGACGAGTACGTCATGAAGTCATGTGATGTATAACCGGAACGCGATTCCACAATGCAAGGAGAAAAATAAATTAACCAGCACTCCCGCATGAACCACCCTACTGTTTATTCCCTCCACTCGTCACGTGTTAACAAAGACGATGCAGACAGAGAGCCCCTACTACGTCGTCCCCCGCCTTTTCTCTCAAAGAGGCAGGAGCCCTCCCGACCATGTCACGTAGGAGTTTAAACAAAAATTATAGAGACAACTTGAGAACGACGCAAAATAATCCAGCAAGTCGTCGAAGATGGCCACAGTCGCGTCGTCCCTTCGCCGCTCTAGCCGGGTGCGCCAACTGTACATCCTGCGGCTCCCTAGGACAGGATAGGTTCTCGCGGGGCACAACTTGCTTCCCTAAGGGGCCATCACCACCCTTAGTGGCGTATCCCTACTGAGCTACTGACCCACGTGCAAAAACTTTTAAATGCAATTGCAGAGGTGGGTTACGGTCACCCCTTTAATCGAGCATTACCTGCCCTGATGGTCTATCTGTTAGGGTCATTGGTTTTGTTCGCTCCCTGTTCCCTACCCTCATTGAGCTTGATGACATGTGTTCCCCCTGTCATTATGTGTGGATGCCCTTAGGAGTTATCGCCCCCCGGGCTGCATTCGCCACCCTCAGAGACCATCCCACCCTTTGGTTTGCGACACACTCCTCCTGTGACATATGGTTGTCTTGTTGTTGCTTTGTTGCTCTCAGACTGAGGCTACTGCCTTTGACATTTCTAGGATTTAGTTGTTCTGCTTTTGCTGTTCTTAGGACTTATACACTAGTTTACTGTTTCCAGACTGAGGCTACTGCCTCCAACATTCTAGGATCTAGCTGTCATTACTTTCTGCTTTCCTATGACATGTATGCTAGTTAGTTGCTTCTACTTTCACTTAGGCCGTTAGTTGTGACATTGCTGTTTTTTGTGACATTTTTTATTCTAGGTTGCATCGCATGGACTCAGCATGGAGCTTGCTCCGCATCCTAGACTGGTTTTCTTTTTCTTTGGTAGACTTCCGCTTCTTGGCGGAAGCGTGCTTGTATCTAGGCGATCCATCACAGGCCGAGGATCGTGTAGCGGACCTCTGGTTGGCCTGTTGGACCAGCCCCTTGGTCCGTTCTCACAGGCCTGTGTTGTATTTGGGGTAGTCCAGTCCATGCCGGTACCTCTGTCAGTACCAGCCAGTCCAGTCCAGTCCCGTCAGTTCGCTGGGGTATACCCCAGCTGTTGTCTGTTTTTCAGATCATTCTACATTCACACATTTTGGAGTACGTGCCTTGGAGTCTAGCGTGGGAGCTGCGCTGTGCCATCTCGCTCCCCCTTCATCGTCCATCTCCATCTCTATCCCAGGCGGAGCACCACACCTGGTGGGTCCGCCACAGTAGGGTGGTGGTGTGAAGTAGTCACGTCCAAAGTAGTTGAAGCCGATAAGGTGGCTGAAGTGGAGAAGGTCGTTGAAGTCATCGAAGTGGTCGATGAAGTAGGAGTCGAGTCGATGTCGAAGCAGAGCCGCAAAATGCTGGCATCTTGAAGAAGTTGATGATGGAGTACCTCATGGTGTGAGTCAGTAGGGAGATAGTACGTGATCAAAGTGTTAATCGTCAAGACGCCGGGGCCGTCGACGAGTGCAAGGTGGACGCGCAGAGGCGTCCATCCGCTGCTGACGAACGGCCTCAGAGGGAGCGGGCTCGTCCTCAGCGATCTCCTCAGCCAAAGGAGGAGGAAGAGGGTCAGTCGGCTGAGTAGGAGCAGATGTCTCAGCACGACGAGCACGATCATATGCACGCACCAACATCTGAGCGTGCTGCAAGTGCTCGAGGGGCTCCCAAGTAGCCTCCTCATCAGGGTAACCCTTCCAACGCACAAGGTACTCGATGCGTGGAGGGGTATCGTCGGTAACTCGGCGAGATACGATGTCGGAAACAACGAACTCCTCATGACTGTCCACCATGATAGGTGGAGGGTGCTCATAAGGACGTCCGGCGAAGCACTCTGACGGTCTGCGATAAGGACGCAGCAAGGAGATGTGGTAAACATCGTGTACGCGAGTCCGTCGAAGGTAATCAGGTAGCTTCACACGGAAGCTGACCGGACTAGCGACAGTATCAGAACCGACGGCCTGAAGGATGCAGCATGGACCGAAGAAACGACGCCTGAACTTGCGAAGCGTATCCGCTTTGAGCTGCAAGTGGCGTGCGTCGATGAGCACGTCGTCATCGACTTTGAATGGATGATCCATTCGTGATCGGTTTGCTCGTGCGACCATGCGGGTCTGGGAGTCGGCTAGACTCTCGTGTGCTCGCTTCATAATCATCGCCATGTGGGCGATCCGGTCGTCAAGGGCAGGACAACGAGTGTCTGGGCACAACCGCGATCGTCGTAGGAAGTCCTCGGGTACACGAGGGTGGTAGCCGAGGTCGCAATAGAATGGCGACATCCCTGTGGCTGGCGAAAGAGTGTGGTTGTACGCAATCTCCACGTGGGCTAAGTGTAAGTCCCACTGTTGGTCATCCCTAACAAACTTTCGGAGGATATTACCGAGAGTTTTATTGGTGACCTCAGTCTGACCATCCGTCTGAGGGTGGTAAGACGATGAGAAGCGGAGCTGGGATCCGTACACCTCGTGTAGGCGTCGCCAGAATGTACTGGTAACGCACGGGTCACGGTAGGAGATGATGCTCTGAGGTAAGTCGTGATCTCTCACGACTTGGTCGAAGACGATGTTGGCGACCTCACGAGCGCTAATGCGATAGTGGCACGGGACAAAACGTGCACGCCTCGTGAAGCGATCGATGACGACCAAGATAGCATCATGACCACGCTCAGTGGGTGGGCAGAGGGGACCAATGAAATCCATCGAGATGGACTGCCAACGACCCTCGGGTATGGGTAAGGGCTGAAGTAACCCATACGAAAGGTGGTTCGCACTGTTCACCTCCTGGCTGGTAGGACAGTCCTGGATGTAGGCTTTGACGAAGTCCTTGGACTTCGGCCAGAGGTAGAGGCGGCAAACACGAGCCAATGTCTTGTGAAAGCCCATGTGACCGGCGGTTGCCTGGTCATGGAACTTTGCTACAGCCTGGACAAAAAATTGTCCAGTGGAGGGAACGCAGATACGTGGTTCTAGCTACCAGATCTGCCATGCCAGTACACGAGACCGTTCTCACCGAGTGAGTATGAGGGAACGGTCTTGCCACTCCGCAATGTCGCATGGATGGCACGATAATCCGGGCAGTGGCGGTACTAAGTGCGATATGCGTCGATCACCAACTGATCAACAATGGTGATGGAGATGGCAGCAAGATGGATGGGTTCCTGATTGTGATCAGGACGGCGGAACAAGGCATCGGCGACGCGGTTCGTTTCACCCTTGATGGGCTGAGTGGTGAAACTGAACTCAGATAAGTCACGCCACCAACGTGCCCATCGAGGAGAAAGCTTGGGCTTCGTGAGGAAAGCTTGGACAACTGAGTTGTCCATGCGCAATGTGAAGGGCGCCCCGTGCAGGTAGTGACGCCAATGCCGGGTCGCATAAACTACTGCGAGAACCTCACGTTCATCGACAGTGTAGTTTATCTCGGCAGGCAGTAGCTGATAGGAGTAGAAGGCGATCGGGCAATCCCCAGCACGAGCCTCGATAGTCCCATCCTCTGCGATGGTCAGGGAGTAGGTAACGGGAGGATTGTCAGTGAAGGGAAGTGGTGGGAGGGTAGGCGTCAATCGAGAAGCAGTGTCAACAGGAGGGGGGGGGAAAGGAGGAACATGGGGATAAGATGAATCCAGAGGAGAGGGAAACACCTGAGAGAGGACAGTTCCTACTGCAAAATCTGACGCATTGGTGGTGATGATAAAGGGGCGATCAAAATCGAGGAGGCGAAGAACCGGCGCACCAGTCACCGCCTTCTTGAGGGCACGAAAGGCGTCCTCGCACAGGGGTGTCCAAAACGACGGCGGGTTCTTCTGGAGGAGGGTGGAGGTAAGGATGTAGGAATACCTAGTGTATCCCCGGATGAAATTACTATAGTAACTAGTGAGGCCTAGAAAACTGCGAAGCTGCTTGACAGATGTGGGAACGGGCCACTCTGCAATAACAGTGATCTTTGCGTCGTCCATGTGGAGACCCTGGTTAGACACATAGTGTCTTAGGAAGTCCACTTTGCTCTGGGCAAAGCGACACTTGCTAAGCTTGGCATAGAAGCCATGCTTGCATAAGCGCTGTAGGACATTGCGGAGGTGTCTGACATGGTCTTCTAAGGTACGAATGTAGACCAGAATGTCATCCAGGTATACAAGAACGTATTCTTCGAGGATGTCCCTGAAGATGTCGTTCATCGTCGTCTGGAAGGTGGCAGGTGCATTGGTGAAGCCAAGTGGCATCACCGTGAACTCGTAGTGGCCGAAGTGCGACCGAAAGGCGGTCTTTGGCTGGTCCTCTTTGGCTACGCGGATCTGGTGGTAACCGCTACGAAGATCGATCTTCGTAAAGAAGCGGTTGCCTACCAAACGGTCAAACGACTCATCCGCGAGAGGCATGGGATAGTTGTTCTTAATCGTGTAACGGTTAAGGCCAAGGTAGTCAATGCAAAGGCGAAGAGTTCCGTCCGCTTTGCGAGCAAAGAGGACGGGTGCACCCCAAGGGGAGTTACTGGGTTTAATAAAACCCAGTCGAAGGAGCATCTCAAGTTGACACTTGAGTTCCATCGCCTCTGGGATCGAGAGTCAGCAGAGTGCCTGATGGTGGACACGATAGTTAGGCACGCACTGGATAGAATGCTCAACACCACTCATGAGAGGGATCCCGCTGTATGAGAAATACAGGGGGAATTCGTCGCGGTACTCTTGAATCAGGTCGCGAATGACGGGCTCTAAGTCTGTCGTGAACCGTGTGAGTTCCATAACGTCTTCGTCGGCATGAGACGTACGTATGGGTTTGACAGTCGATGACGCAGGGGCCTGGGACGTGGGGGGGGTATCCGCAGGCTGACGGGTGGACGTAGAGATGGGAGCCGCGAAGATGGAGGAAGGGTCATAGGGATCGGGCTCCAATGAGATGAGCTCAACCTCTGGACAGAGTGGATCGTAGCGAAGAAGATCCATGACGTTCACTGAGTAGAACGTGACGTCCTCCTGTCGTRTGAAGTGAGCAAATTGACGAGGAGAAGTGAAGGCGATGTCTGGGTGGGACCCAGATGGACGAGGGTCCTGGGGGGGTAGGTCTGGAAGGGTGTTGCCCGTGGTTCCAATGAAGGGGACTCGATGGGTTTGACCACACTTCGTCTTGAGAACGAGTGTCTCAGTCGCCCATTCGGCCTCTGTACCACGGAACCGGCAAGACCAGACAGTGCCAAGGATAAAGTCGCACCCAGTCTCAAGCACGTCGAAGTATGCGGAGGAATGGTAGCACCGAGGTGCCTGGGTACTATCCGATGGCTGGAGGGTGAGGGAGAAGTGAATATCAGGGACCGTCTGATCGAAGAAGCGCTGCGTCTTGTTATCTCCGAGGGTAACGGAGATAGGAGAGCGAGACCCGGAGGTAGCTAGACGAGCTTCCTCAACCACTCGAGGGTGAACAAAATCTCCCTGCGAGCCAGAGTCCCATAAAGTGCGGTATACCCTCGTAGATGTCCCTAGGTGAATAGGGATGATGGGGAGAGTGCGATCAGGGTCAGAGAGCAGAGCGAGAAGACGACGTAGAACGTTTAATTGTCTCGTGAGCGGCTCCTGACGAGCCTGAAGAAGGCTCAAATCCAGGAGAGATGACACAACGTCATCGCGAGTCGCCAGCTGGGCACTGCAACGAGTTGTGCGAATGGCGCGACGAGCGGAAGTCTCGGAGGCGGAGAACTAGATGCGGTGGTCTGCTGTGGAACAGACGGTACCTCGATCGACGGTAGGGCAGAGAGAACGGTGTCTATCATGTCCTGAGCATCCTCTGGTGGGGTAGCCAAAGAGGCGAATCTTGACTCAGTGGTCGGGAAGCCGACTACGTGCGAGGCCTCAGCGGTACACTGCACTATGGCTAGCTGGGTGGGGCTGGTCGGGCGGGGCCGGGGGGGCACTGAGAGCGACGCTGACGAGAGATGTTAGCATAGTGTCGATTGAGGGCGGCATGGTATGGACACTGTGAGGAGGTGTGTCCATCTTGGCGGCAACGAAGGCAGCCGCAATGGGCCTCGAGGGCGGCACGCTCCTCAGGAGATAGAGCTCCGCGAGGTGGAACAAAACCCTGCGGGGGATCGATCTGAGGAACCGTGGACCTGCGGGCGCCAGCCTGTGCAACCCGACTGCCTGCACGACCCATAGTGGACATGGCCATCTGCAGGCGCTCGACCACTGGAACAATGTCGTCATCCAAGTCATACTGGATGATGTCTCAGAGCTCGATGTCCTCGGGGGCGTCCCCAAAGGTAGGGTCAAGCTCTGCCGAGGTGTCCTCGCCGTACTCCAGAGAACTGTAGCGCCGAGAGAATGGCGCTCCAGGTCGAGCTGGTCGGTGAAACCGACCGGCGAAGGAGGATCGACCGCGCGTGGTGCCGCGTGACTGGGTGGTGGCGGCGGTGGATTGCGAAGAAGATGGGGCATCGGAGAAGCGACTCGGCACCTTGGTACTGTCGAGCAGCCTCGTAAGCCTGCTCGGAGGAGGCAAAGCTCTGTCGCCAGAGCTCGATGCGGTGGTCAGTCGGAAGGATGACTACGAACCTGTTGGTCAAAAGGACCTTAGGTAGGAGTGCCTCATCACAGATGAGGCGGGCATCCTGAAACACTCTAATGTGACGCTTAAGATCGGCTGGTGTGGAGGACCAGTGCCACTGTGTCTGAGTGATCCGATCTAGGATGTCGGTTGCATCGTGGAGAGTGTTGTAGCGGTCATGGAGGAACGCGGTGAAATCGGCAAGAGTGGGAGCCTCACCTGAGTGAGTACGATGGGTACAATAGTTCTCCCATGCGGAGAACGCGCTGCCTCGCAATTTAGTTGCGAGCGCGGAGCACCACAACTCCTGACCAGTGTTAGTCAGTGTCAACACACGTGTGGCAGCCTGCAACCAGTGCGACACACGCATAGTACCATCGAAGTCGGGTATGTCCGACATACGCACAAGGGTGGGACCGCTGTGCTGATGGCAAGGGGAGAGAGGTCGAGGGGCCTGCACTGCGGCGGCAAATGTCGAGGCCGGTGCAGACGTGGAAGTGGTAGCAGGCTGAGAGTCGGGGCTGCTGGTGGACGGTCCAACAGACGTGGAGGCAACAGTCGCAGCCAATTGTGATGGAGTAGCGAGGTAGTAGGGTAGAGGGGTGGGAACCGGTCGAGGGAAACGAGCCGACAAGACAGAGGTGGGAAGGGCGGTATAAGAAGAAGAAGGGTGMGCAGCCTGTGAAGGGTGAGGCTGTCTCAGGGACAGAATCTCCGCCTGGAGCTGCGCCACGGTGGCCTGTATGGTAGCCACCCGTTGTGTCCGCTGGGTCGGGGGTGGAGGGGGCAGAGAGAGTACCCTAGCGGGAGGAGGAAGAACTCCGGGCCGTAGTGCCGCGACCGGTGCAGGAAGCTGGAAAGCAGCACCTGGGTAGATGAAACTGCCTGGCCAGATACCGGTATCTGGGGGACAGAACATGCGGCAGTGGCGAAGCGGCCGAGGAGGCCGGAGCGGCGGGGGCCAATGCCTGTACCGCAACAGACGGTGTGGTCTGGGCGGCAGCAACACTCACCACTGGGGAGGGGGGGTGCTGGGCCTGGCCCGCGGAGGAGGACGAACCACCACGTCTCCGTCCCTGGAGTCGTAGAGAGCTGGACTCCGAGCCGGTAGGGGATGGGGTTTGAGAGCGGTGGGGAGAGCGATGAGGAGAACCCTTGAGGCGGTGAACTTCAAGGGCGAGCGCATTGAATTGCCTCTCCAGGGGTGCAAGCACATCGAGTCACGCTTGTAGAGGTCCAAGGAGAGACACAAGAAAAGTGCGAAGGTCCGTAGGGTCCACAACGTGCTGACCCTGGACCGTCGGGTGGGTGGACGCCTAAGAGGTGGACGACGCCGCGACAATCTCCTCAGCTGTAGCCCTGTCCGTGGGCGGTGGAGGAAGAGAGGTAGACATGGTGGGAGGTGGGGGGAGAGATGGGTTGTGGTATGGGGACAGAGGACCACCGGTGAGAGGGAGAGGACCGCGAGAGCGGAGTGGGTAGTCGTGGGTCGGCTCGCCCCGTGACCAGCGGGTCGCGCGTGAGATGGTGGCGTGGATTTGGTCGAGGGAAGAGGAGTCGTTCGGGTCCAGGGTGCCCGACGGAAGGAGGCGGGACACTAGGGGGGGTTATGAGAACCCTAAACCCTAGGAAAACCCTAAGAAAACCCTAAGAAAACCCTAACCGGGGTTTGGGTGGTTAGAAGAGGGTAGCGGCGATCTAATCAAGAAAAGAAAATAATAACCATGAAGGGGAGGGGGGGAGAAAATAAAATAAACTATGAAATTTTGAGATAAAAAAAAAAAAAAATAAATAATAAAAATTAAGAAAAAAATAAACAAACAAAATGTGAAAAGAGAAGTGATATTTATTTTTTTGGAATTTTCGGCAGCATTTCCCTACCCCCCATGGGATCAAGAATGTGCCACGAGGAAGGAGAGACCAAGATGAGCACACTAAAGTTCAAAATGCCGCAAATTATAAATTTCAGAAAAATAAATAAATAAATATTAAATAAATAAATAATTAAAATAAATAAATAAGTAGATGAGGAGGTGAAGAGAAACTAAGTGTTGGCAATGTTAGGAGTAGTTTAAAATAGAATAACGAATAGAAGTAGCAGTAAATAGTTAGCTATCCATTGGTTGCTCACGATTGGTTCCCCTTTTTTTTGGATTGTGACGGCTTTTTTAGGCCTTGTGGTTATTTTGTTTTGTTGGATGACATTTTTAGGTTTGTGTTCGACTTTCTGGCCATTGGTTGGTGTTTTCTTTCCAAGGGTTGGGATGTGTCAGGGCAGCGGTCTTGATTTGACCATTCTGCTACTAGAACCCAGTGTCCCAAGGCCTGCACCTATGCTGGGTAGTGGTCTCAGTATCAAATTTTACTTTTTTTGTTTTCCGGGTTGTGTTGTTGAGGAATTCCCGGCCTCTCCTTTCGGTGTGGTAATAAGAAAGAGCAGAGTTTCTTAAAAAAAAAAAAAAAAAAAAAAAAAAA